TGGGCTTCTAATCATAAAAGTTCACTCTTCACATGAACCCATCTGTTGATTTATATGGTAGGCTCGCTGTTAATGACATTCTGATTTGTGCCATGGGGAAAAAAATCAGTAAAAACAAACAAACAAACAAACAAAAAAAACAAAGTGATTTGAAAGGATCCGGATTTTAGTTGAATCACCTAGATATCTGAATGCTTTCTCATGTTAAATTACTAAAAAATGGAGGGTATAGAGTTTCAGTTATCTGATATACCAGAGATACCAATTTTTCATGAGTTTTAGGAGAATTATTTTTAAATAAGTTGGTAAACTAAATGAAGACTGAAAACATATAGCAACTTAGGCATTACTGTGAAAATTAATTACTCACACAGGAGCAAGACAACCATGACGCCTGCTGTATGAGGGTAGGTGCACGTCTAAGGGTACGCTACACCCGGAGGGTGCAGTGACTGTCAATCTGTGACTGCTTAGATAAGGCTGTTTCCAGTTCTCCAAATTTTGCAGACAAAACTGTCACCCTCCTTCACATGGAGGAAATGTGTGACCTTCCACAGTCACTTAACCTTTCTATGTTTTCTCATCTTGAAAATGATAATATCATAATCAACACGAATCCCATGTGAGGCAGTGGGTATTTGCCTCCTCACTTTTGAAGATGTTTTATGTAAAGCAGCGTGAGCTCTGCCAAGCATGCTGTTGTATAATGAGAATTTTTTTTAATAGAAGTCATAGTGAGAGGCTAGTTAGCTGCCTTGGAGCCTAAGACATAGAACGCAGATTGAATACTGCATTCCTATGTGAACAGATCCATTTCTATGAATCTTGATCTGTTCTTCGATCTCAGAAAGCCTTTTTAAAAATGATTGTCAATGGTTTAAAAAAGGATGAGGAATGACAGAGATTTTAAAAATAAGACTGAAAGGAGAGTCTTCGAATCACCCTCAGCCTTGTCTGTTGAAGCTCTTTGTTTTGTCATGTTTCAGAGCTATGCTCATAGAAAATCAGTTTTGAGTTCATTACTCATATTTAAAATAATAAAAACACCTCCAAGCTACAACAAAAAATTATAGTTTATTTGACTAATAGCTCATCTTTTCTGAGATTTTAAAGGCCCTTATAATATGCCCTTACAGGAGGAAAGGGTCTTAGAGGTATAGATCTCTGAAGTGCTTCATATTCATACATAAACCTGAATTTTAAGAAAAATATTATATCGACATAAATTTTTTGAAGAAAACAAATCTCCTTTCACGTGTTGCATTCCTGTCATTTGAGTTCTAGAGAATGAATTCTGATAAACAGTCCTCCCTAAGTTTGATATCAGAGCTCATCCAGTTAGTACTGATAGGCAATATGGGATAATTGTCAAAAGTAACTTTGGGGCCAGTTAAGCCTGAGTGTGATTTTTGGTTTTACTTACTTGATCCATTACCGAAGCTTCAGTGTAATTATCTGTAAGGTGAGGATATAGTGGATGCACATTGTTTGAGTCAGCACAACATCCTTCTAACGCTTTTCTAATAACAGTTTCTTGAGTTTCTCCTGTGAACTACCCTCCCTTAGATTCAATGCCCGTGTTTCAGAGGATGCTAAATGTGCTGTGTGGGTTCAGAGATAGGCACGTGATTTAGCCACAGTCAGAGAAGCAATGAGCAGGCAACAGCCCAGGATCATAGCTGAAATTACTACAAAATCTACTGGGATGGCGAATCCAGAGGGATGGTTAAATGTTTGTTGTTGTTGTTGTTTGTTTGTTTTTAAAGAATTTACTTCCAAATAAAGTCAGCATGGTGGAAAACAACTGGAGAGAAAAGAGAATTCATACAATATTGTTTGGTTATCTGAATCTTGCTTGCCTGAAGCCAAATCACCCCTTTTCAATTTTAAGAACACATAAATCTCATTTTTTATTATTTGCAAAAATAGTGCTGAATACACAGAGTAAGATTATAATATTCATATTCTCCTTATAGGGATTTTGTGCATATAAAGTACATACTTGCTATAGTGCCTATCAAGTACTCAATAGAATTTGTGTATTATCTGACTCAGTCTACATCAATGGCTGACCCTCACTGACACTACACACTGAAGATTGAGGGACCATGATGCTCTTCTACAGAATATTTTCCTAGCACTAACGAGCACCTTTGTGAAACAGAACAGATGATTTTGAAAAAGTTAGAACCAATGATCTTGAGAAATGTCACTGAGGTGCATTTATGGGGCACACTCCATGTATCATATATATTCATGCTCCTAGCTACCATCCATGTGCCAAGCTAAAGCCAGACTCTCCCTTGACGATATCAATACCAAGACTCCATGGGACAAACAACATAAAATTCATAAAAGGACATTACCACATAATATATATTTTTACAAATCTGGATCATGCAAGAACTAGAGACCCTGTGGATCACATCTTCCTAAAGATTTTTACCAGTATCTTTGGAAGGAGGAACTGAAAATGTATCTAATTTTACTATTTGAGTCTAGCCATTCTTAAATTTTTTAAACCTCCATCATTTCCCAGAAACTTCTGCATTTAGAGAATCTATAATTTTATTATATGTAGATCTGGACCAGGATGCAAAGATCCTATCTGAGTATTTCAGATCAGTATTCTGGCTCCCAGAGTGGGCACACCTGAATAAGAAGCACACCCTGAAGAATGTTACCGTAAAAGGCTCAGCCATCTGGATCTGTTACACCTTCCGTGGACATCTGCATGCAGAAAGAGTATGGGCATCTATCCCAGTGTTCCTGTGCAGCATTCCTTCAACATGGAGAATCTGACTTCACAAGTGGCACCAAAAAATTGCATACTTAAGAGTCTTATAATAGAGCTGTTAACATATTAGCAATCTGTTAGCAGTCTGGACTGTCAAGAGCAAGAACCTACGCACAATATGAGCCATCATTTATTTTTGGCCTCACCAAGAATGTACAGCATTTATTTTAATAAACTAAGACATAAAAAAAAAACAGGTTAAGATGCACCAAATGGGGTACTGAGAGACAACAAAACATTATTGACGCTTTATAAGGACAGGACAGACTGGGAGCTTGCAATTTGTTTTTAATGCTCACAAATATAGTCAAGCCATTCCCCTGGTCACTCTACAAAAAATATCAATCACTGTGTTACCTTTTTTTAGTGGCAGTTGTTTGACGCCATTATTTACGAACCACAAGAATTGTTTTCCAGAGAGATACTCGACTGGAAATATGCCACAATGTGTTCTTAGCTGGTTGCTAAACACCAAGTTACTTTATTCCTCTTTGGGGATAGGGAGGTATGAGTCTGCACTTACGGGTACATGATTCTGGCAAGATATTTTAAATGGGAAGTTATTTAGGGTGAACGTATGTGTACCAGGGTGAAAACCGGACTGTTTCTGCAGAGTATAACTCACATTATCTGACTTTTGGAAGTTAATATTCTGAAGGGGAGAAGCCCATAATCCTATTATACATAATGCACCTACGGCTATGGAGGTGTAACGTAAACTTGATTTTTGAGTTTTGGTCTTCCTCCTGGAATCAGGAAGAAAGTTACTGATTAAAAATCAGAGGCTAAAGAAAAGAGAATTGGGGCTTTGGTGTGAAAGCACAGTTTGCATTTGTATAAGGATTACATATTTTAAGTGGATTTTTCCAAATTCAAAATATAATGGAATTTTTGCAGAAGAATGGCCAGCACTGATGGGAAGCAATTTCAGGCATAGTAGCTTGCTCGATAGAGAGGTGGGACCAGAGTAACAAGGCATGATTAGTACAAGAGTCTGCTGTGCCAGGTGATCTTCAAGCAGGCCAAGTACTTTTCCTGTTTTCTTTTCACTTCATAGCATGAGTAAGCAAATGAAGTTACTCTTCACCCTTTCTTCTGAAAATTTTCTCTTTTTGCAGCAGTATAATAATACATTACCCACAACCACGCCTGACTCGTTTCTTGAGAATCAGCTGTTGATCCCATTCTGTCTGACTGATACGAAACTTGGATGAACTTGCCTGGTTGGGATGAGCCCTGAAGAGACAGGGCAGCTAGTGAGAGTATGTTGGTTCGAAAACCGGCCTCCATATGTGCAGACAAAAGAGAGAGAGTGAAGAAAGAGGCAGAGCCCTCCAGATTGCTGGGTGGTGGTGTTACCCAGCTGTCTGATATCCATTGAAGCCAATGCTATGGCACTGGCTTTTGAGAGACGAAAAAGCTTTATTGTGAGGTCAGGGGGCTAGGAGACAGGCAGCCAGGCTCATATCTGTCAAACTTTTGTGAGTTAGGGGACAAAGGCTCTGAAGCCCCAGCGGGGCTGGCTTTGGTGGGAGGGCTCTGGAACCTGGCCATTTGTGGTAAAGGTGTGGGAAGGCGGCTTCAGCACCACGTCTTCCTGGACCACAGACCTGACCTTTCTGAAAGGGTTCCGGCAGTCGGTTCCGGTCGTGCCCCAGTCCTTTGGTTCCGGGGGAGAAGAAGGTTTGATTCCGGGTATTGAGGTCAAACTTCTCTCCTCTGCACATGCTTCGGCTGCAGGACTCGCGGTTTTGTTCTGCTGTCTCTGAAAAACAGCTCAGTGTCTTGTTAGAACCAGGATGGGGCCAGTTTGTGTTTACAGCAGATTTAATAAGCAAGGGAACTGACATACGGCGCTTGTCTCGGGCAGCCGCAACGCAAGACAAGGAAATCTTCACACCCGCCTCTAGAATCTGAAAAGTTCATGTAGAGGCCTCAGTGGAGTTCAGTCACCTGCACCATCCAGGTGGTCTCAACAACGTACTCTCTCAAGGATATGTCCTTGAAACAGCTCCTAGCGTCGGAATGGAGGCAGAACACAGATTCCAAGGACAGGGGAGGCGGGGAGGAGGGGAGGAGCCTCCAAACGCCTGGATCCAGCTTGAGAGTCAGCCAGTGGTCACATCCTCTCAATGACCTCCTCACCAAGTGTTTCTTAGGGTGATTTCAAGTTCACGGAGCCTGAAGGTAAGTACTTTCACAGAGAACAGGGGCTAGAGTTCGAGAGTGTACTTGTGAGTTTTCAAAACAAGTTGCACGTATCTGCAACGGCAATACTGAACTCTGCAATTAACAGGAAAAGGAATGGTGACCGCAGATGGTGAACTGGTGAGTAACTTCTGGCTTCTAGTCTTGTTTAGCAAGCTGTTACATGGAATGAGTGTTAATTTAAAAGGCATGAGATACGAGGAACACTTTCTGTTTTTAAGAGTGCCAGAAACACAACTGTAAGGGAATCCCATACTTGCTCATGGTGCTTACACTCTCTGTCTAGTTCTTGTTGATGAGATATTTGTTCCTCTCAGGAAATGATGTGGTCATTAAGTTGATTACAGTGGCACATATGTCTGGTTAAGTGCTTGTTTTAAGTAAGTCAAAGTTCAGTAATCGGCAGGAAAGGACGTTAGTTTAGTCTTTTCCAAATTCATCATGAAACTACGCTGATCAAACGTTTTTGGCAACGTGTAGATGTGTAGATTGCATAAAGTGATTAACTTTCTGGAACTACATTTAATCTTCTGGAGATAAACTGAAAAGATGACTGATTCAATCGGCAGGACTTGGTAGCTCATTCATCTCTCTTGTCAACATTTGGGGAAAAAAAGAAAGAAAGAAAAGACTCCCAGAGCTACTTTGTAGAACTTTAATCTCCTTGTCTCAATGTGGTCATTAGCCACAGCTTTATTTAACTATGACTATTGACACGGTGAAACCAAGAGCCTTATGGTTCTTGCTTCACTAGGAATTTCTCTCCACTTAATATTCCACCTCTGTAGCACCTGTGCAGCTTAGATTACTTCTGTTGACTTTTTTTTAAACATTTTTATTGATTTATAATAATTTTACAATGTTGTGTCAAATTCCAGTGTAGAGCACAATTTTTCAGTTATACATGAACATACACATAATTCACTGTCACAGTTTTTTCTCTGTGAGCTACCATAAGATCTTGTATATATTTCCCTGTGCTATACAGTATAATCTTGTTTATCTATTCTCCAATTTTGAAATCCTGTCTATCCCTTCCCACCCTCTGCCCCCTTGGCAACCACAAGTTTGTATTCTATGTCTATAAGTCTATTTCTGTTTTGTATTTATGCTTTGTTTTTGTTTTTGTTTTTGTTTTTTAGATTCCACATATGAGCGATCTCACATGGCATTTTTCTTTTTCTTTCTGGCTTACTTCACTTAGAATGACATTCTCCAGCAGCATCCATGTTGCTGCAAATGGCATTATGTTGTTGGTTTCTGTGGCTGAATAGTATTCCATTGTATAAATATACCACATCTTTCTGTTGACTTTCTTATTTAACTGTTTCCACCTTTTGAAACTACTAAGTTAATTTCCAGAGATAACAGCAATTTTTATTATAAAAATATAATTCAGATAAATATTTACCAGTTTTTAAAGCATGCAAGAAAATACAATATTTTAAGGAATACATTTGTTATTAATATTAGTTGTAATCTCCAGTTGCAGAATATCAAAAATAATAACTATTCCTGTCATACTAAGTCATGCAATTTAGACAAATAGTAAGTTTCAAAGGGTATGATTTTGCATTTTGCAGCTTGTCAAAATCACTTCTCAATCTATTGGAGAAGCTAGTATTAAACCTTTCAGGGAGAAGCCTGAGGAATCTTAACAGAAGCTGGGCTGGAGGAGTTTGACGGTTCACCTTTCATGAAAACATGGATTGGAAAAGAGTAGAACATCTTCCCTCTCTCCTCCACTGATTCCTGTTTCAGTATTGAGGTATCTCAATTCCCTGGACAATAAAGTCTGGTTGCAGATGATAGATGACTTTCCAAAGGCAATATTGCTCTTCAGCATCATTAATATTTTAAGTTTACCCTAAAATAGCAGGTGGGGCTTTTATGGGGACGTTGACTGAAGGGCAATGCTAATTCCTGAGAAACAGAGAAGCGCTTTGAAGAACAGCACCCCAAGCTCCGTTCCACAAGCTTGCTTTGATGATGGCAATTACTGTCCTTAATTCCAAAAATTAAAGAACAGCCTATTTTCTTTCAAGTTTTGCTACAGTATGCAGAGTTTTTTTCAGACATTCAAACTCATTTGCTGTTTGCCTCAGGTTTTGCATGCGTCACGCACCCTTCTAGAACTCTGAAGTAGGTCTCTCTGACATGCGCTCACCTGAGGTATGTTGGTAGCTTCCTACTACCCAGTTGTTCCATCCTCCAAACCAAAGAGTAACATCTTTCTCTAATGTTCTGGACTCCTGCAAATTGGATGCTTTATTTTCACACTCTTTCTGTATTCCTCTCCACAGGGAGGCCATTTCATTAATGCTTTCAGCTATTCTGAGAGCTCAGATTGCTTTAGTGGATACTTTGAAATGTCTGGTCATTATAATTCAGTCACCCAAAGCCTTTCGCTTAAAATTTTTAGTTATGTAATAGTTTTGATGCTGTAGGAACAAAATTAAGCAAGCTGTCTACTCCCACTGGTAAATGTCGCAAATGCTTATGCCTCCTGGGAAGAATCCAAGGGCAAGAAAATGTGCCACCCTAGGTCAGAATAACATAATTATGCTGTTGTTGATGTCTTCTGAGTGATTGAAGGATTATTAATTTTTATTAAATGCCAAAAAAATGGGCTGCTGAAATTATTGAATTCCAGTTGTTTTAGTGAAAGAGATAATATAAACGCTTAAAAGTAGCTGACAGTTTTTGAAAACTGATTGTAAGGGAGGAAGAGCTGATTTTTCTCTGTTCTGAGTTCTTAGCTGAGACCCCCTGTCATAAAAAAAACGGGTTAATAGGATAAAAAACAAACAAGTTTATTAACATGCATACCTCATGTACACAAGGGAGCTACCCAGGGAAGAATAAGTAACTCCTTGAGATGGCTTAGAATTCAGGATTAAGTAGAATCTTAATAGGGAAAAGGGGAAATATAGGTCTTTTAGAGAGGAGTAAATCATTTTTAGGAAAATTGAAAAGACCTTAGAAGAATAGATGGGAGGTACAACAGTGTGAGATAGAGCTTGTGTGGATGTGATGTCAGTTTCTAGTCTTTGCTCCTGTGGTGAGTCAGTCTTTCTTGGTTGATGAAACTCTAGGGGAGGGATCTGTGACAGTCGAGTTCCTTTTAGAGGATGTCTTTAGGCAGATAAGGGTAGTTCACAGAAAGCCTCTTCCTGCTTTCGATGTTGAATTTCTAGTGCTTACAGCTCAAAATAGTCAATATACCAAAGTGCTGTATTTTGGGATACCATGCCCTGAATCCCTGCAGTCACGTTTTGGGGATGTATACTCTGCTGCCCTTCACTGATCATTAGTAAGATTCTGTGTTTAAGACTTTATTTAAATGCCTTCATTTAATTTTCACAATCTATCATCTAGGCTTTTGATGAAGATACAGTGAGATAATGCCCATACAATACTTGAAATTAATGGTTTCTGGCACATAATAATTATGTAACAAATGGTACTGTTATTTGTTTTCTTTTTTATTGCTATTATTATGGGAAACTTAAACATATGTGAGCATAATATATATGATCATAAGTACCTGCATTAGTGGCAGTGACCAAAAAAAAGAAAAAAACCTAATGAAACAGTTCAGACACATTGGGATGATAATTGTATTTGTAATATAAATTGACTGAAGGGAAGTATTTTTGGCCTGAACCTTTCAGTTGTATTCACTTATGTTCATTATGTACTAATCTGTATGTCTAGAAACGTGAAAACTTTTTTTTAAATGGTCTTAAAAGTGTGTAATTGAATTGGGAAGATGTTGAGCTTGCAAAACAATTACAGAATAACAGCTATTGATGTACAATTAAATGCTAAACAGTAAGATATAGACAATATACCTAAAAATAGAGTTTGGAAAGTTACCTTGAAGAGATAACGCTTGCTTGACTCTTCAGGTTTGATGAGAATTTAGGTGATTTTAGTTCAAAGAGAGAGGAAAAAAAAAGAAAATTAAACTCTTAGTAATACCGAAGAGTTCTTTCTCTCCTCTTTCTCTTCTGAACAGTGGGAAGTGAGTCCTTAAAGCTGTTTAGCGCTATCTGATAGTGATTATATAATCTCTCACCAAAAGTGTTCAGCGAACATATGGCCCATGACAAGTATGACTCCATAGTCTTCATCTTAGAGCCTCACGCTCTATGTCTTGACTCCAGCCAAACGCCCTTAGCTGTGCTTAAAATAAGTGTTCCCTGCCTGGGCATCAAGAGGGCTGAAGCTGGCATCTCCCTAGGCAACACCCGCCCCTCCACCTCACACACGCACACACCTTGACTGTTGGTTGAAGACAGCTCGCCTTTTAAGTGTTGAACTAGTGTGTTGGAACTACAGGTGGAAAGGTCAGGACTGAGAGTTTAGGCTGAAGTAAATCTGTTGACTTCAACAGCATTTGAGACTTACCTCATGTGTTCATTCCTTCTCCTTCCCTCTCCTTTCCCTTCTTTGTCATAGTTATTTATTTATGAACATTTTATAACTTAGTTGCAAAAATCAATTGAGGCTACCATACAAAAAACTACTCTTGCAATCTTGTAAGTTATTCTGTACTATCTGCAAGATGTCTTAATGAAACATAAGGTGGGATTTCTTTCCAAGACTGTTCCCTGGACATAATCTGTGTTTTCCTTTTTTCTGGACTTTTCTTCTCATAGATCCCATTTTCTTAGATGCTGTTCCCCCTTCCCTTCCTGATGAGCAGGATAGAGCCATCCCCTAAAAAATGGCTTTGTCCTAATTCCTAGAACCAATGTGTATCCTTGGTTACTCGGCAAAGTAGAATTGAGGTTGCAGATGGAATTAAGATTGCCAATCAGCTGACCTTAAACTAGGGAGATTATCTCGGATTATCAGGGAGATCCCAGTATAATCACAAAGATACATAAGTGAAAGACCGATGCAGAAGGGGAGAGGCATAGAGAGATGTGACTGTAGAAGAAAGGCATAGAGAGATGCAATGCTGATAACTTTGAAAATGGAAGAAAGGGATTATGAACCAAGGAATGTGGGCAGCCTTTGGGAGCTGGAATAGGCAAGGAAATGGATTAGCCCCTAGAAAGGAATGCAGCCCTAACTATGTCTTGAATTTAGTATTAGACTTCTACAGAATT